ATAACAAGTACATCCGTGTAACTGTTGTTTTTAAGTTTATCAATACATTTCGATATTAAGGTTAATCAGGAACAATAACTTTGTGATGTTAATCTCTTAGATAAAGTCAAGGGAACAAAAGTTTTAAATCATTCAGATATAAAGTACAAAAGATAAAAGTAAATGCAGAAAGTGACGGTTTTAAATGTGTATCGGTATTGTTATTAAATTAAAGCAAGCATTGTGTCACATGATATTGGCGGAGGATTGCGTACGTATTACGCTATATTTGTAATTTGGTCTGCTGACCACATGTATAATTATTGTTGATAAACTATAAATTTACCCTTTGCTCGGTAGATTTCGATATCATCTTTTAACCTTCCTGGAATGACGAAAACACATAACTTTAATAATAACACGTCTTATGAGACATCTTTATGTGACAATAATGTAAACAAATTACAAGCTAGTTGGTTTCGTGACACCATGGCTCGCGAGCAACATAAATTCTGTTCTTCTATCCTTAAATCTTTGAAAAATCATCCATCGGCTGTTCCTTTTCTCGAACCAGTTGATCCGGCAAAGTATGGGGTCTCTGATTATTTTGATATTATTAAGAAACCTATGGATCTCGGAACAGTCGAAAAAAAACTAAATAACTACGAATACTCTACCGTTCTTGCCTTCGTCCAAGATGTCAGACAAATATTTGCAAATTGTATCATGTATAATGGCAAGGGACATGCATTTTCCGTTTTTGCAAAGGATCTTGACACTTTATTCAACCAGTTGCTTAGTAAAATGCCTGGAGTGAAGGAAGAACCAGCAGTTAAGACAGAGCCTTCTAACGTACCTGACTCTAAAATTTGTCTTTCTGGAGAGCCATTTGCGAGTAAAGCTCCCGTTGAATCAATGAAACGACCAAAGAGGACCATCAAAGCACCTTCTAAAGATCTACCTGAGGCCCCTTCGGTTAAACGTAAAAAGAGTAAATTAAATCAGGAACTTAGTTTTTGTCGTGATGTGATCAGGGAGTTACGTAAAAAAGTTCATTGGGCTTACGCTTATCCTTTTTACGAACCTGTTGACGCAGAAAAATTAGGTGTTCCTGATTATTATAAGATCATAACAAATCCTATGGATCTTTCTACTATAAATAGAAAGTTAGAAAGTGGACAGTATTCAAATGCTGATGAGTTTGAGTCAGATATTCGTTTAATGTTCCAGAATTGTTATACGTATAACGGAAGGGGTTCTGAAGTATATAATATGGGGAAGATGCTTGAAGCAGTGTTTGATAAAAAATGGTCAGAGAAACCTATTCCTCAATATCGACGACAAATCAAAGTTGAAGATTTTTCAGAGTCGAATAGTTCATCAGATGATGATGAAAGTGATGATCATAGTGATCACATAAGAGCTTTGCAGATACATTTAGAAGCTCTGTCATCAGAGATTTCACAGATAAGAAAGAAACATAAACCGTCCAAACTTAAGAAAAAACACGGTTCTAAAAAGAGTACTTTGACTCAACCAGCAGGAACGGGTAAAAAATCACTAAAGCGTCCCAAAAAAGAAGCTAAAAAATCGTTAAAGACACCTCGCAGTATTAAAAAGCCTTTGAAAAGTCCTCGCTCGACAATTAAACAAGAAGAAAAAGGTCTTACTCCTGTTCAGAAAGTTGAACTTGGACATCGAATTCAACTTTTATCGGCTGACCAAATGGCAGTTGTAGCTAACCTTATTCGTGAGAGTGGTGCACCTATACAGGATGAAGATGGCGAATTTTCGTTTGAAATTGATTCTCTAAATGTTAAAACTGCCAGAGAAATGTACGACTATGTAATACAAAATACGGCTGAAAAGGCAAAAGTTAAGAAGAAGCAACCACCTGCGAAGAAACCTCGTACACAATCTCTAGTAGAAGAACAAGAAGCACAAATTCTTGCTCTTGAAAGAACATTGGCAAAATTTGAGCGAAACTCTGCCACCTCACCTTCTGAAGGTCAAAATGAAAGTGATAATTCGAGCGAAAGTTCTTCAGACAGTCAAAGTTCTAATGATGGTACATCTGACTCTCAAAGCTCCGATTCATCTGGTTCAGATTCCGAAGATTCAGGTAGTGAGTCACCATAGACCTTTATAACAATATTATTACCCATGCGTGATGCAACAACATGAAATGTCCTCTTTATAGGATAAATGAATAACAAGAAATTATTTGTTATAAAGAGAAATCATTGTAATTTGTTTTTTAAATACACATAATCTTTGTCCAAGAGTTTTTTTTTTTTTTTTTTTCTTTCCCCCCTTTTTTTTTTCTTCTCTAATGCATAAACCGGGTGAATGTGATTGTAAATACATGTTTCTCACTTCATTTTTTTTTTTTTTTTTTTTTTACACTAATTTTTTTTTTTCGCTTTGGTAGAACTCAGAGAGTAGCCATACTGAATCAGAATTCTGGTCTTAAACTTGCTAGTGTTTAATAATCATACTTGTTTTTTACATCTTGTGATAAACACGAAGAAAATTTGAATGAAAACGCAATAAGAAATTATTGCTCAAAAGCTTTTTTCCTAAAAGAAAAAAAAAAAAAAAGGCTACTAATTGGAATGATTAATATGATATGATGATATGAAAATCTTTAAAATTAAGGCAGAAACAAAAATGAAAATTTAAAGAGCCCATTCATATACATGTTAGTGCGGATTCGCAGTTTAATATTAAAAAATTGAACAGATAAAAAACCAAATTTATTGCACAATTTATATAATATATATTATTTGAATAATGAACTCAAATTATAATAATTTCGATCCGGATATCCAAAGACAAAACCGGCATAATTAACTATAACTTAATAAGACAATAACTTGGTGCTAATGTTCTATGAAAAAATAACGTCAGTTTAAAGGTTGATCTTCGTCATTGGAATCCAAGATCATCCCTGTGTTCCCGTTTGGTTCCGCATTTCCCATGTGCTGATCTGTTCCATTAATTGTTACTTCATCTAAAATTTGCCCATCTTCCATCTCATCATCATGTTCTGTCGGTGTTTCATTATTAGGTGTTTCTTCAATTTGTACATCAGGACTTTGACTTTGTTGCCCTATCTGTGGTGTACAATTCTCTGAAAGATCCTCATAAGGATTTTCTACAACAATTTCAGCATCCTCAAGAGGATGTTTTGATTCACCGTTCTTGTATGGTGACAAGATAAAAGTTAGAAAATTTTAAATTTTAAAAGAATAATTAACATTAAAATAATCGACCAAAAACCACCTTTTTTTTGACCAGTTTCGGTTTACGAATTTGATAAAGGCGTAATATTTCATCTACTGCCTCTAAATCAATAATAATCATCAAATATTAGATAATGAATAATAAATTATTAGATAATGAGTAATAAATTTATGATAATTTGAAATATACTTTACCTGATACATCGTAAACATCGATCTGAGCAACCCTCCACCATAAAGTCCCTTGTTTAGTTATCTCATTTAATTGAACATTAGCTAACTTTGATGCAATGAAAATCGCGGCGCTTGCAATTATGCTAGGTTTGTAAAAGAGTGAAATTGGTGCATTGAAGCTGTAGACACTCGAATATTGAGATGTACACAATTTAGAAAGGAAAAGATTTTATAAACACACCATATAATTTAAGAACATGTATACTAAAAACATTTTCTACTTAATCACCTATCATTAATTATTGACCAAGCTTTACCCGCAATCGCTTTGCGAATTTCTATTTCACCTGTATTCATAATATTAAATCAATGCATATTAAAATTGATAATAAATTTGATAATAAAAGTGATAATAAAAACAATGATGTTTTGTACCTTCAAGTTCTCGAATTATTTTTATAAGATGTGGATATGGATGGTCTAAAGTTAAATCGAAACACAAGGTCGCCGCTATAGTTGGTTCCCGTTTTGTGATTGTATGGTGCCATTTTTCAAACTCCTATTTATTTAAATTAATTAATATAAATTAATACAGTTTAATAAATCTGCATTTGTTATTTTATTAAAGAAAACACATTTACTTTTTCGTCTTTGAGATTCTTGTCCTTTCTGGCGGTCTTTGCACAAGCCACGGCCACTTCGCTCATTTTTCTTGTGGTTTCCTCAGACTTACACGCCAGGAATACACAAGTCCCACCAATATCCTTTAGAATAATGTTCAAATAATAAAGCTTGAGAATTCACATTCTCATTATTTTTCACAATTCATCAGTTTACTATAAGGAAAATCGACATTCTTACATAATGATGAAATTCGTTGAGACTTTTTCGCATATAAAATCTATGTAAAAAGGTAGCAGCTGTTGCGATCGTTTGCTGAGGACTAAAATCCAAGTTATGGTAATTTACGAAAGTTAAAGATATATCGCATATTAATTATAAAAATCAAACCAACTTGCTAAGATTTATAAGGATACAGTTTAAGGTCATAAGAGACTTCAAGAATAAATTTGACACCTTTGGCTCTTTTATAATTCTCTTCCCATATTGGCATCCCTTCCCTTCGTGAGGGAGTGTATTTTTCATATTCGTGTTTTTTGAAGATCCAATTTGTTGAGTTATTTTCCATTTATTATATATAATTTTTACCAAAAAATTATGCTATAATGAGCCGTAGCTTTAAAAAAATTAAACTTGAAATTTTAGGAAACAGATGGTTTTTGCCTGCGGTTTTGTACTGCCGTTAATTGGAATTCCGAGATAGATGTTCCGAAGCTATATTATTTTAACATTTTTATCACTGTACAGATCCCCGAACAATAATAATTGGGGTTATATTGAAATTTTGACTAAAAAGGGTAGCTTTTTATACGTATTTGAAAAACACGTTATTGCAAATGTTATTATTGTGAATAAACTATTACGTACCAATCGGTAAGATCCAGGGTTTTTTAAGATGGCGTGTCCTATTTTTAAACTTATCAGTTATACGTACGAACGTACGTACGTACTTAAGTATACGTATATAAAATCGATGATATATATTTCTTGGATTTTTATTAAATAAACTAAATCTTTCAGATAAAGTTATAGATTAGTTTTTCAAATTTCAATAGTAGTACGTAAAATCATTACAGTTTACCCGTAAAAGTCGGACATGGGTATCCGGGTATTTTCAAACTCGCTTTAGTATCCGAGGTACTTCTTTATGGGGTACCTGTTATATATCTATATAGTAAGGGATACATTTTAAAGATAATCGTTTAACCGTTTAACTATATTAACAGCTGTTATCTTAATTTCTGGAATTCTTCGGCCGATTCAGATAAGTTTGTGATCCGTATAATAAAAGCTATTTTAGTACTATCATAATGATTGTTTATAATAATGATTGTTTTACAAATCATTATCGTTATACGTAACGATATGTCAACATTATTAAAATTTTCGATCGAATACTTATCCAATATGCTTAGTGTATTTAGTTTGTACGAAACTTTATCTTAAGACAGTTAATAAATCTTAGCAAGAAATGGATATAAATTAGACTCTTATAGTAAACATATTAAACGATTTGCGCTAATATTAAAAAAAGATACTATACATATAAAATATGGTTTATACGTATCCAAAGTCTCGAAACCATAATCCTGACGTGACAATTAATATTTAAAGATTAGTAATCACATTAACAATCATTGTCAAACTTTAAATTTTTAATCGTCACATCGCGTTATGTCGATTTGAATGTCGGGATTTTGTGGTAGAACGTATCACTGTTTATCTGTATATCCAAGTTGACTTATAGATTAAATCGTTAGATTAATTTTACTCCAGTTTTTCTTTCATTAAAGTTTAGGATATTTTATATCGTTCATACCTAATTGTTTGGTAATTTTTCGAATTGATAAGTCTAGAATTTTTTCGATAATTTACCAAAGATACATATCAGCTGAGCTGCACGATTTAATAAATATAAAAAAAAATGAGGTATAATTCCGGCCAAAATTGTTGATCATTTGACCAGACTGAAGTAAAATTATTTAAAATTTCACCAAAAAGATCGACAATTTTATAAATCATTGGTTTTTATATTTATTAGACCGTGCAGATGTTGGATTAAAACTTACTGTAATTTCAAGAAAAAAGGTTTTTTATCTCTTTTGAACTAATGCATCAAAGGATTTATTAAGAAAGTTGTAGTTACCAAAAAGGATCGATTATATAGGTTTATTTTATTTTATTTTTTTTTCTCTGTATCAGTAGCCTTACTAGTATTTTTATTAGATCAAAGCAGATATACAAGTATATTTTAAACTATCTAAACTGTAGATCTGTATCTTGGCTTTCTCTATGGGCATCCAAATATAGTCTGCTTTACCGGTTAAGGTTGTTGCCTATACCAGGGACTGCATCAAGCTAGCTAGTAAAATTATAACAAGATAGTTTCAATTCAAAAGAATTTTTAACTATATTAAATTGGCAATTTTTTTCTTCTAATCTATTCTTTTCTTTAAAACAATAATTTAATTCTAATTCTATACTATTAATTAATTCTATATCATCTTTCATTAAAGGATTATTGTTAAAAGTTTTTTGATCATATTTGTATTTTTATTTTTATTTTTTCTAATTCATCTAATCTTTTCTGATCAGTGATCCAGTTCTCAGAAGTTTTTTCAAATTCTTTTCTTTATATTTTTTTTTTTGTTTAGAGGTTTTATAATTTTTTTTTTTTCTAGAAAATTTGCCTAAAAGGTTTTTTCTAGGAGTATTCTTTTGTAGATTTTTTTTCTAGATGTTTTGAGTCTTTATTTGGTCCTTTTATTTTTAGATCTTGAAAAATCTATTTGGATCTTTTTTTTTTTCTTTTTTAGAGGTTAGTTTTCTTTTTAGAAATTTTTTTGTATTTTAATAAAGATTTTTTGATTTCTGAACAATTCTACTAAGATCTTCTCTATTATTTCTAATATTGTATCTTTTTTTTTCTTTTCTAGTTCTTGTCTCCTTTCGATCTTCTTGCTAAAATATCTGAATCAAGTTTGTATCTATATACTATTAGGATATTGATCAGTATATCCAATCTACTAATAGTTTTTTTTTGTTAACTTCTTTTATTGATCTGAGAATCTTCTTTGCTTGCTTGATATATTATTTTTATTATCCAGTCTCTTGGGGTTGTTAAAAAGATTTTGAATCTTAATTCTTCTTAAATTTTGTTTAAGGTTTTTGCTTTTGTGAGGTCTTTAATATTTTGACTCATAGTTCTTTTTTTCTTTGTTTTTTTGATTTTTTTTTTCTCATGCTGGTTTGTTATGATTGCTTTAATAATTCTTTGAATTGTTGTACTAATATCTTCAGATTTGTTTTGTTATATTACTTTTGTCAAGCTTCTCTTTGTTTTTAAAGTCTTTTGCTCTATTCTAATTCTAGCTTTGATTTATTTCTGCAGCTTGTTTTTTCTTTTGATAAACTTGTAACTTTTTTCTTTTTACCTTAGCTTTTTTTTTTATTTCATACTGGTTTGTTGTGGTAGTTTTGACAGATTCTTTGAATTGTTATAATAAATTTTTCAAGGTTATTTTATTGTATTGTCTCTGTTTACTTTTTCTTTGTTCTTGGAGTCTCTTGTTTTAACCTGTTTCTAATTTTAATTTAATTTTAGCAGCTTACTTCACTTTATTATTTAATATCTATCTTATTTCTTAGCTATATCCAGATTAGAGATGCCGAGAAAACTATGTGATGCTAAATCATCACACACTATATCTTATACATATTGCATATGACTTAAAAAAATTACTAGTTATTTCCTTG